TCCGATCTAAACTATATAACTTGTTATTAATTTGGTTTTAAGAGATGACCGTTTTCTACTGGTAACGAACTGCCACGAAGTATAAATCGAGATTTTTACTTTTGTGTTGAATGTGTGTTTTATAATATATTCACCACTAATGACAAAAAAAAAAAAACTTTTCTGCAGAATTCACCAACTGCACAATTCTTGTTAGTGTAAAATAAGTAGTGTTTCAAAAGAGCAGAAGAAATCTTATGTTTTTTGAACAATAAGAATTTTTGTTGCTAATCGGTTTATGTGTTGCTAAGAGATGATCGCGTTTTCTGGTAACCAAGTTCCACAATGTAAACTTCTGATTTTCACTTTTGCAAAATTTACCGACTGTAATTGTGTCTATAAGCAGATAAGCATTATTTTGAAAAAGCTTACGTTTTTCCCTTCTCACCCTTCTGCAGGTGGACTGTTTCATCCTCTGAGTTCGGGTCCTCTACCAGAAGCCTGGGAGCCGCAGTATCTGGCACATTTCTGGACTGAGGTGTCTGATGTTGTTCCTGGGATCTGTTTTAGACACTGCTCCAGTTTGGGTGTGACTGCCTCGAGGGCCCCTGCGCTCCTCGGCCCTGTAGACGCAGGGTGAATCCTCCCAACCGAGAGTACCGGACGCCAGCTGACGGTGTAGACCCGCCGATTTCTGCCAGGATCGGTTTGGTAAATGCCAGGTCGCTGACAAATAAAACTTTCGTCATTAGGGATTTCTTTTACTCTCATTGATTGGATGTTTTATTTATAACAGAATCATGAACAAGTGGTTTGGGTGACTCCAGCATTTTTATTCAACTTATACCGCGGAACTGCGGCTCTTTTAATGCTCCAAGGATGTCGGGCTTCGGTGGAGGTATAGTGACTGTTTTTAAAAGTTGATTTACTTGTAAAGAGTTCCCTCTGGCCTCGTTTAGTAGCTTTGAGATTAGCCTATTTGAACTCGGCAGCTTTCACACTGTACTGTGTGCGGTGGTCTATCGGTCACCAAAGTACAACAAAAACTTTATAAATGACTTTTCTGATTTCTTGGCTGATATCATGCCAAGGGATGACCAAGTTCTCATTGTCGGTGATTTTAATATTCATGTCTGTTGTCCTACTTCACCTATGACTCAGTCATTTCTGAATGTTATCGATTCAGGCACTTCAGTTATTTGTCGGTGCATCCATGTAGGGGCTTGCCCTCCCATGATGGTACCTCCAGTACCTCGTTCTCTGTTCCCTATTGTCTGAGACATTTGCTGAGCACATTGTTCGTTGAGGCATTGTCCTTGATGTATTTATGGATCTTGGATGTTTCGTCCTGGACAGTGGCTCTCACATTCACTAGTCCTCTGCATCCTTCCTTGCGGCTCATGTACAGTCTCAGGGTGCTGGATTTGGGGTGGAACCCTCCATGCCTGGTTAGTAGTTTCCGAGTCTTAACATCCATGGTGTTTATCTCCTCCTTTGGCCAGCTAATTATTTATCTATTTATTTTTATTTTTGAACAGATAGAAAAGACAATCAAGAAAGAAAAAAATTAAATAAAATAGAATGAAACAAACTAAAGAAATAAAAGGTAAAACAAATTATTATGCCCAAGTAACATGCAAATTTTATATTTTCTGTTCGAAAAGGAGCAGGTAGAAGATATAATATCTTATGATGTCCTGATGTCCTACTTATCAATTTATAATCAATTAACTGTCAAGACATCAAAACGAGACAACTTGTTTCCACTTTACATGATATTTAAAGATGTACCATTACTATATTGGCTCAAAGACGTGATGCCCAATTTTTTGTCCGGCTCTACTTTTTATAGTTAAAAAAAGGTTTAAACTCATAAAAAGAAACCATAATTATGTACTATATCTCCCACATATGCACATTCTTTAACCTTTCAAAAGCTGTTCTTTTTTGGCTATTTTTGTGGTCTTTAAAGGGTCAAAATGTCATGTGGTGCGACTGTCCAAACTCAATTACTGTTTCAGAAATGTCTTTAAAATTACATTAAATCTGTTCAAATATATTTTCTTTCCTGTTTGGCATGATTTTCAAAGTCTTTTTAGTTATAATTCCATTGTAACATTTAAACAAATTTTATCCGAAAATGTCATTTAACAAAATATCTTGTGACGCGACCAACAAGAAATTCCCATTTTTGGACTTCCAGTCAAAAACAGGAGGTTGCATCATCCAACAGTCTGTCAAGAATCCCTGGAGACAGCAAACAGGTGTGTTTATTATTCTTAAATTTCAGAAAACGTGTCACTTTTAGCAGTAGGTATGTAGTTGCCATATTTGGGTGTCATGTGGTGCGACCACCAAAAAACTATTAATATTTCAATATAGCTACAGTTTTCTGTTTTGATTATAAATGTTATATTTGCCTTGTGTTTGAAGCTAGATTGTTTATTTTAAAGAGGCAAATGACTGGACATGAAAATATCATTTGGTGCGACCGTTGTAATGATACATTTATGTTTTTGAAAAGGAGTTTCTGTGCTTTTATTTTTGATTTCAAGACTCAAATGCAAAAGCAATACTTTGTATTATTTCCAGAATAGGTTTTTGTACAGTTTTATTGTTGTTTTGCATTGTATTGTATGATAAAAATACAATGGAACATGTAACATTACGGGAATAGTTATAGCATGTATTTTGTCATTTATTGTTTTTATCTATTTTACTAGATTCCACTGTCATCAAACTGAGCTATGATGAAGTACCATATGTGACCCAGGTACTTCAGGATGTGAGAGAAGAAGTCCAAGTCAGCACAGTCCGACGACAAGAACTTGGTCACATGGTCACATGCTCATCAGAACCTGAACCAGCAAAACCTCATAGAGTTCCAAGTTGAACAGCCAAGACTGGGCAAAGTTCACAAGATGTCTCCTCTGATTTGCTTCAGAGGGGATATGATGGTTTTGAAGTTCATTGAAATTTTTCTGTTTTGAAACCATTACTTATCATACATGGTTCTGTTTAAAATGGTTAAACTTAAACTGAATTATTATATTTTCATTAATGTACTTAATGAGATTGAAAATGTCTGTCTTTTTTCAGTTTTTTTTTAAAAATAAAATTAGGAAATTAAAGCAATCTCCCGTACATTCTGATTTTATGAGAGATATGTTTGAAATGTTTGTTACAAAGTTGATTACTGCATTAATTTTTAGGTAAATTAAATTGGTGTGTTCTTTGTGTTGTTGTTTTTGTAATGTACAGTAACTGAATGTAATTCTATTTTTATGTATTAAAAGGATTTTGACCTGTTTTCTGGCCTACATTTTTTGTACAAATCATTTGGCGTGACCATAAATCATGTGGTGCAACCGATTAAAAAAGTAAATTTATTGAATTCAAAATAGAATATCTAGTATCTATCTGGAGCGTAAATATTAACCACCAATACAGTATCCTTAAGTGATTGGTATTTATTTTTTTAACACATTTTGATGAAATGGTGAAGAAAAATAGTGGTCAAGTCAATAATAAATGGAATTTGACAGTTTTATTTGGGGAAAAACTTTCATAATTGCCAGAAAAATAAAAAGAAATTTAAAAACTTTGTTTCTA